AAAAAATGAGGAGCTGATACCAAGGGCTCAAGTAGAAAGCAAATGTTTTGAGAATGATGATGGCAACAAATGCACAAATGTGTTTGACACAATTGATGTATATATGGATTGTGATAAGAGTTGTATGAGCCCCCAGTAAAATTATTTTTTTAAATGACAAAACATCAAAAAACCTCAATCAAAAAGAAAGCAGAATATATTAAAAACTGAAACAACTTTAAAATAGTTCAAAAGGGAGACCAAATGATAAGTTATTACATTTTAACCTCACTACATCTTCCATAATCAGCTTTAAAATGCTCTCTGTCTGAGAGCAAAGCTACTCACATGTCTGGACTATGGAGGGGATTCAGCTGAGGTGGGATCCATGGGGGGACCTTGCAAATGGCTTTTGGACTTCCACCGTCATCCATCCACCTTCTACAAACTGGGTCAAATGAACATTCTTTTAAAGAAAGCCATCTTCACTGACCACCTCTTCCTCCCCTGGAGTAGAGGCCGCTGGACACCACCAGTTACCATCAAGTCTACGCCAACCCATGGGTGACGCCGTGTGTGTCAGAGTAGAGCCAACGCGGTTGGCTGCTTGGTGGCAGAGTGCCAGGGCTTTGGTGGGCTCCAATCCCCACTCTGGCAGGCAGCAGTGGTATGCATTATCCCTTTCTACCACTCAAGGACTCCCGGGCTGTGCCTCTACAGGGATTCAATGGGGGCATGGTGTGGGCACATTCTGTTTTCTTTGTCTATGAGTATGCTTTCAGCTAATTGGAGATTATATATATGAACAGAGTCATCACTGTACCATACTGAACATTCAAAGTCAAGGACGAGCTATCAGGATCACTCTGAAATTCAAGGGCATGCAAACCCAGAGCTTTGAAATTTTTTTATTAAGTGGAGGAGGAAATCCATTCCAGGCACATGCGCTTTATGAGAGGGGGTTAATGCTGTCTCCCAACGAGCAGCAGCTTGCCTTCTACTTCCAGGAAGGACCTCAGGCTAGGAGGTGTTAGGCTCATTATCAATGAGGAAAACGTCTCTGGTGAAGGCAGGGCAATGTCGAGGGCCTGCAGCACCCTTGCTCTCAGAAAGGCGTGGCGTCCAGTCACTGAGCGTTCATCCCACCCCAGACTCCACAGAGAGTGCCAGGGTGGCATAGTGATGGCTGCAAGGTCCGCAGTTGGAGACCACCAGCCACTCTTGGGGGGCGGTAAAGACGGGGCTTTCTACTCCCATAAAGAATTACAGTCTCAGGAACCCAGAAGGGCAGTTCTACCCTGTCCTCTAGGGTCACCCTGAGTTCGAATGACTGCAAGGCACGTGTCTTCTACAATTGGGTCTCATTTCACTTGCACAGCGATCTTAAACAGAGACGTAGGGATCCTTTGATTACTTTCCGGAGAAGGGAAACAGGCTGGGTGCCCTGAACGTCCTGCTGCTCCGTATACCAAAAGAATGTCTAGATAGTGATGGGGTAGTAAGTGGACAATTCTGCTGGACAGGATTGAACAGTGGAATGATTTGTTATATTTACGAATCCCAATTAAAATATTTTTTTAAAGGTGGGGGTGGGGGTGGGGGAATCCTGCGTCGGCCTGAGGCAAAAAATGGCAGCTCTGTGCTCCGTTCCGCCACCTGCTGGAAAGCTGCGGAATACCACGAAGGTCCTCACCTCCAGGAACAAGAAGGCAAACTCACTGCAGATGCAGATCCACCTCACACCTTCCTTCCAAAAGCAGGCCTGTGAGCTCTGGTGGTTGATTCTTTTCCTGCTCAAACCCCTTTTGGCAGAGCTGCCTGGGGCGGTGGAAAGTAGCTTTTCTGTGGGATGAGTGAACCTCATAATTCAATTAAAAACATTTCTTTTTCATTTTAGAAAATGAAGTGCCAGCGCCCACCCCACCCGCAGAAGGTAAGTAAAAACACGGCCTCACATGTCTGGGCTGCAAATAGCGAGGTCACTTGGCTTCCATTGAAGCTTTAACACACTCCTACTGAGAAGTCGGATGACAGTTGAGAAAGGTCTGTAATGATAGTACTGTGTTGTGTCTATGACTCTCAGCCATCTGATTTAGACGGCAATTTACATATGAAAATCGTATGACTGAATCTTACAAATCTCTTCAAGTTATGAAAACACGGCTGCTATACACATGTTTTACACATGCAGGAAACTTAGTGGCTTGCAAGGTGTTTGCACATCTAGCGAAGGGCAAGTAAAATCCATGTCTTTCTTGTGAAAATGGAAATACAACGCCCCATCAAACACCTCCAGGAAACGCCTTAAGACGTTTCCAGGATGTTTCCATGATATCCATGGCTCAATTGTCTACCAGATTTGTGGGGGACAAAAGGAAGGCTCACAATGAAGTGCCTGGCAAATAGAGGCAGCACTTATAGACACACAGTAGGTGGTTTGCTTTTACAATCGCATAGACCTAAGGGAGAGACCAGGACTGGGAGGAGAGCAAGTTCAAGAGAATTGTTAAGCTCCACCTGACCCTTCAGAATCATGTCTGCTGCCCTCCCCCCACCCCCAGCCAAATGGCCCCGAGAGGGAACCAACCAAAATCATGCACATTTTCCCAATGTACCCCTCTCTCATCGCTCTTCCTCTTTGAGCAGGAGACAACATCTCTTCAAGAATTACTCACTAGATATTTATTGTGCACACAACCTTGTTTTAGACGGATACAGAGATATTTACCATTTGGTAGACAGATAGACGAATTCCCTATTCTCAGTTTGCCTACAGTCAGGTAGAATATAAACACAGCCTAGAGAGTGGGTGCAAAGAAATAAGCCACCATCACTACATTTAAATGTCAGGTCAAACTCTAGGCACCGTGACAAGGTTCAGTGTGGGAAATGCAGCTTACTTCCCTGGGCAAGGTGGTATACAGGCAGAGGGTGAGAGCTCACTGCGGGCTGGAACCGCCTGGGTGGAAGGAAACAGTTTGGGGTCATCTTTGTGCAGGAACAAAGGTTAGGGGATACAGGAAAAAAAACTAGAGGTTATGAAACTCTTCCACCCTGGAGATTATTTGATAGGATGATAGTGTAAGAAATCTGTTGATGGGAGCCTTTCTATCCAGTGAAGAATACTAGATTCACACTCAAAACTCCTTACAGAGCGTAGAAGAATATTGCTATGTGTCAACATGGATGAAACAGGCTTGATGCCACATGAATTCAAACGGGATTGTAATGCTCACAATTGAACATCACTTATCCTGTTTCCTTCCTGTCTCCCACCCCAGCCCATCCCTCCGCTTTTCCTAACAGCTTCTGCTGCCTGAACTTTGCCCTTAAGCAATGCTGCCCCTTCTATCCCCGATGGTTGATTCTTTTCAGGAATGTATGCCTTCCTCATGTCCAGGTTTAGTTGTATTAGACCAGGTCTTGAAACCAGTGTGTGTGTGACATTCTTCTCAGGATCTTCTTCCTCGGTATGTTTTCACTTGGCACGTACAGATTTATTTTTACCAACAGTGAACACCTTGAGCACCTACAGACCATTACAGACGTCTTCTTTTTTTTTTT